ACTTTCCTGCCTTGGCTGGCTTTGAACCGAGATCCTCATCTCAGCCTCCTGAGTAGCTAGGATTACAGGTATGAGCCACTGGTGCCCAGCTGTATTTCTCTTTTTTTTTTTTGTCGGTAGTGGGGCTTGAACTCTGGGCCTGGGCGCTGTCCCTCAGCTCTTCAGCTCAAGGCGAGCGCTCTACCACTTGAGCCACAGCACCACTTCTGGTTTTCTGGTGGTTTATTGGAGATAGGAGTCTCACGGTCTCTCCTGCCCGGGCTGGCTTTGAACCTCGATCCTCATATCTCAGCCTCCTGAGTAGCTAGGATTACAGGCGTGAGCCACCAGCGCCCGGCTCTGTATTTCTTTTATAAGGTGTTTTCTCAGATATTTATTTCATCTTAAACCTGATTAGTTGGGTAGACTTACAGCTGAAAGAAGCACTATTATACTAGAGAGAATCTAGATTAGAGGGGCTGGGAAGGTGGCTCAGTGGTAGAGCACTTGCCTTGCATGCCTCAGGCCCTGGGTTCAATTCCTTAGCACCACATAAGCAAAAAGAAAACAGCTAGAAGTGGCTCTGTGGCTCAAGTGGTAGAGCGCTAGCCTTGAGCTGAAGAGCTGAGGGACAGCGTCCAGGCCCAGAGTTCAGGCCCCGGAACCGGACCCAAAAAAAAAAAACAAAAGAGAGAGAGAGAGAGAATCTAGATTAGATACAAGCATGTACCATCCCTCTATATAGGAAAATGACCAGTTATCACAGAATACCTACATTAAGCCTGAAATGCTTATAAGCTCCCTCCCTATTTGTCTATTTACTAACTTTTAACATTTTTGAGACAAGGTCTTGCTGTGTGGTTCAGATTAGCCTGGAACTCATGATTCGCCAGCTTTTGCCTCTTGAGTACTGGGAATAGGCATATATGACCATGCTCAGCTGTTTTTTGTTTTAATTGGAAAATTACATGAAACAAATTATCTCTGGTATTCACTTGCTAAATTTTAATTTGGTAATGTTTTCTTGTGTAGAGCTATTCTAGGAGGGTTTTTAATTTCTTGGCTGACAATTGGAAAAACTAAACTTTCTTTTTTCTCACTGTTTGAAGAAGAGTTAGGATGCATTCTTTATGTTGGCCTATAACAGGGTCGTAGTTTAGAGGAGCGATACCAATTTCCAAAATGTAGACACATAGCCCAAAACCATTTGAATGACTTGAGAACACCAACATAGAAAGCCCAACACTGGTGACTATGCTTCGCACCTGTGGCTCATACCTCTAATTCTAGCTACTCAGGAGGCTGAGACCTGAATGTCACAGTTTAAAGCCACCCTGGGCAGCAAGATACATGAGACTCATCTCCAGTTAGCCTCCCGAAAGAAGAAAAAAAGAAAGAAGAAAGAAAGAAAAGAAATAAAAAGAGAATCCGAAAGTGGAGCTGTGGTTCAAGTGATAGAGTGCTAGCTACAGTGTTGGCTAAGGGACAGTGCATATACTTTTGAGTTCAAGCCCCAGCATAGGCCCACTCCCCCCCCCCCCAAAGTAAAAAAACAGCTAATGTAAACCATTTTCATAGCACACATCATCTACAAGTTGTGTTGTCTATGTTCTATCACTTTCCTAGATTATTCTAATGCAAATATATAATTCCTATTTCAAATGTAAATAAATATTAGAATATGTGTCTGTAATGGTATGGATACTTAAGAGAGTGAGCTAATATAGTAACTTATAATTTAAATGTTTCAATGTTTTATGTTAAAAAAGTACAAAAGTATCTAACATATTGCCTTTTTTGTTTTTGGATGCCTGGATTGAACCCAGATCCTCTTGACTGCTAACCATGTGCTCTGCCATTGAGCTGTATTCTTGGCTCAGTATTTGTTTAAAAGAAACATTATCCACATAATTTTTACCCAGTTAACTATGATAATTAGCAATAGGAAAGTTTATTATAGACTTACATATAAAATCAGACTATGCATTCAATGCTTGTACTTTTTAACATGAAAACGTAACAGGAATTAATATATTATGTGAAATGTATTGAAAATTAAGGTGGAATTCGTAAAAGTATAACTTTTCAACAAGTGCATGCGTGCGTGCTTGCGTGCGTCTCTTGAGACACAGCTCTACTTCTGGCTTTTTTGCTGGTTTATTGGGGATAAGAGTCTGAAGGACATTCCTGTTGGGGCTGCCTTTGAACCACGAGTTACCCTCTGAACTGCTGAGATTACAATCGTGAGCTACAGTCGTGCACTGTGGCATTGATTATTTTTGAGATAGGCTTTCACTTTATGCCCAGTCTGGCCTGGGCTATGACCCTCCTACTTGTGTTAATCTTCATTGGACATGATATATATATTTTATATATATATACATATATATATAAATTTTATTTATTTTTTGCCAGTTGTGGGGTCTGAACTCTGGGCCTGGGTGCTGTCTCTCAGCTCTTCAGCTCAAGGCTAGCGCTTTACTAGTTGAGCCACACCGCCACTTCTAGCTTTTTCTGCTTATGTTGTGCTGAGGAATCGGACCCAAGGCTTCATGCATGCAAGGCAAGCACTCTACGAATGAGCCATCTTCCCAGCCCAATGATAGGATATTCTTATTTTATTATTTAAAAATTGTTTTAAAAAGTTTTTGAGACAAGGTCTTGCTATATACCAACTGTGAACATTGTTGGGAAAGAAATCTGGAAATCAGTACTGTTGACAATAGCCTCAATTTTAAAAAATCCCAGAGCACAAACCTAGGAATAAATGTAACCAAGAAGCTAAAAAACCTCTGTAATGAAAACTGAAATACAGAAGGAAGCTGAAGCAGATAGTAGAAGATAGGAAGACCTCCATGTCTCATGTCCACTAACCAGCACAATTAGTATTGTGAAAAAAGCTTTTCTACTGAAAGCAGCCTACAAATTGAGTGCAGTGAGTTTCCTCACAGAAATAGCAACAATTCTAAAATTCTTATGGAACCTAAAAGATCTCAAATAGCCAAGGCATTCCTAAGAAAAAGAGCAGTGTTGCATAGTATTATTACAGTACCAGATTTCAGATTTTAAATTGTATTATAGAATCATAAAACTAAAGCCAAAAACAAGTTGCTAGTGGCACAAAAAGAAAATGTCTAGAACTCAGAATTAAGCCCACCGAAATAGCCACCTTATTTTTTGAGAATGGTGCCAAAAACTTATAGGAGAAAAGACTGCCTCTTCAACAGATACTTTTGGGAATATTGCATATTCACATGTAGAATATTGAAAATTGATCTCTACCTCCTACCTTGTAAAAAATAACTTCAAAATGGTCAAAAACTAAGACCTGAAATAGTTGGAACATATTGGCAGTGAATTTTTTTTTTCTTTTTGTTAGTCGTGGGGCTTGAACTCTGGGCCTGAGCGCTGTCCCTCAGCTCTTCAGCTCAAGGCTAACACTCTTATCACTTGAGCTATACAGCACCACTTCCAGTTGTCTGGTGGTTTTATTGGAGTTAAGAATTTCACGGACTTTCCTGCCCAGGCTGGCTTTGAACCGCGATCCTCGTATCTCAGTTTCCTGAGTAGCTAGGATTACAGGCGTGAGCCACCAGCGCCTAGCAGCAATAAGTTTTTTAATAGAACTCCAGTAGCTCAAAAAGAAGAATTGACAGAAGGGACTGCATCAAATTAAAAGACTTCTGCATTAAAAAAGAAAAGACATCACCAGAAGAGTAAGAAATAGCTAACAAATGGTGGTGGTGGGGGGAGGTCAGGTATTCAGTTTGACAGGGGGTTAATATCTAGACCATATATACAATCTAGACTAGCATATAATCCAATTAATGAATGGGCAAATGAACTTGAAAGTTCTTAGAAGAAGCACAGATGGGCCAATAAATATACAAACACATGTTCCAACATCCTTAGCCATAAAAGAAATGAAAATCAAAATGATAACAATTCTTACACACTGTTGGTGGACTGTAAATGAGTGCAGCCACTGTGGAAGTCAGTATGGAGACTCCTTAAACAAGTAGAAACAAAACTCAAGTAGAAACAAAACTTATAGGATTCTGTTGTGCCACTCATGGGCTTTAGCCATCAGAAGCTGTCGTACATTAGCCTTTTATTCCCATGTTTATGGAGGTACTTTTCATATTAGGTACATTACAGAATCAGCTTAGTTGCCCATCAACACATGAATGGGTAATGAAAATGTGCTATAAAGCACATTTTGTAAGTGAGATTTTTGTATAGATTTATTGTGTTTATAAAGCCAAAGGCTGTCCTGTTTTCTTCTGGAAAATAGCAATGTTTCTTTTGATCTTTCTAGCTCAGTACGTTCCTGTGTTGCTTCTTGTGTGTAATCTTGTTTCTTCTAAAGAGAATAGTTCAAACGCAGTAGACCATGTGTACTATATCTTTCATGGTTTTATTTCTAAATTCTTAGGAAATCAAGGATAGAGCTATTGGAACATTCTTACTGAAATTTGCTTTTTTCTTTTTTAATTGGCTCATACCAGTTATACAGGCAGGGGTGAGAGGGAGGATTTCATTTTCAGGTCTTCATCTTTACATTGTATTAGGATCAATTTCATCCTCTATCACACTTCCTGCACCCTTTTGCCTAATGTAGTTATATTATTTTTTCTAACTGATAATTTAGCAAGTTATCTGTTCTTTATTGGACCTTCCTACCAAAATTACTTAATTTTCGTCATAAGGAAATGCTGTGGGTGACGTGGGGTAAAGTTGTTAATAGATTCATTTTTGTTATAGTTCTTAATATTTGTTTACTCGCTTCTATTGATGCATGTTATTTTGAATGTTTGGCTTTCTTCATGGAGTACTTTATTTCCTTTAGTTCATATGAAGACACTATTGATTATATTCATGTTATTTCATTAATGCATTTTTGTTTGTTTCATCTATTTGATTAAGTATAAGAACTTCTGTACTTTTAAAAAACAAATCTTTCCAAAACCAAATAGAGAAATTAGTGATTTTTTTTATATATTTCTTTTTGTCTGTTTTAGGATGCCTACAATAGAGTAGTTAATATTGTGCCAAAGAAATCACCACTGCTAGAAAAGAGACCACCACTGCTAGAAAAGAGACCTCCACTGCTAGAAAAGAGACCACCACTGCTAGAAAAGAGACCTCCACTGCTAGAAAAGAAACCTCCACTGCTAGACAGACCTGATGAAGGAAGCTACAATAGATATTACAGTCATGTTGATTACCGAGACTATGACAAGGGCCGCAGTTTTTCTCATGATCGAAGGAATGTTCTACCTCACAGAGGAGTATGTAAATTTCCCCCATGTACTAACTGTTATTTCTTTTTAACTTTTAAGTTCGTAATTAAAATTTATGTGACAGCTATGGAAGCATTTGTATAAATACTTCCTGCTCTTGCTCTATGTTTTTTGTTTTGTTTTGTTTTGTTTTTTGGGGTCAGGATTTTGCTCTTTATCTCAGCCTTCCCTCAACTCAGCATTTTCTTGTTTCTGTCTTGTAAGTGCTAGCATTACAGGTGTGAGCTACCACACCTAGCTTGACACTGTTGAATGGCCTACTGAGGTTGTCAAATGGTAACTAGTAGTCAAAATATATTGGGGAGTAGGACAAGATAAGAACTGTTAATGTGTAGATGACATTAGTTCAGACTGGCTTGGTATTCATTCATTTGCTTATTTATTTATTTGGTTATTCATTCTGGTCCTGTCCAGAATCTCACTCACAGGCTTTGAAAGCACTCTATGGCTAAGCTGTAGGTATAACTTGCTTTTTTATCTCCTTAATTGGCAGGGATTTACATATGATATAAGTGATTATATCATTGTGATTATAATCCTTGGTGCTTAATAAGTGATGACCAAGTTGGTTACCATTCCTTATTGGACCTCCTTACCTAAAATTATTTTCATGTAATGAATGCCGTGGGTGATGAGTTAAGGTTGTTGGTAGTTTTTTGTTAATGTTTGTTTCCTTTTTGTTTTGGTTCTACTTCTTAACACCTGTTGCTCACTCAGGTCAGGAAGAACTAAAAGCTCAAAGCATCTTGTATGTCATATAATATTTGAAATGTTGGCTGCTATTAGTTGATATTATAATTTTTCTCTTTTGGGAGGGATTGTTCGTTTTGGTAGTTGAACTTGTACCTCTCCTTCTAAGGCTAGCACTTTTTGCTTTTCTAATTGTATATTAGATCCAATGTTATGTTTTTACCCTAGTCTGGCATTAGAATTTGATCTTCCTGTCTAGGCTTGTTTGAATAGCTGAGGTTACAGTTGTACACTGCCACATCAGTCTTGTTGGTTGAGATTGTGTCTTGCTGATGTCTTACTTGGGCCAGTCTCTAAATATATTAATCTGACCTCCAGAACTACACCTCCTGAGAAGTTGGGTATATAGGTATATACCACCATGCTGGCATTTTGTTATTATCCTGATTGAAATTCTTAATGCAATTCCTTTGTCCTAGCTGGCATATTTACAATATTTCTCTTCTAATCTGTTTTCCCTCCTTTTCTGTTGATAATAAATTTGACCTCATGTTGCTTACTGGATTCCATACTATTCTTTCCACTTGAAGAAATGAAAGTAAGCAATTTCCACAGGTATCCTTTAAGACTATTCAGTATTTTTCTGCAATTTGTTCCTAAAGAGTATGCTTTTAGCTTCCGTGTGTGTGTGTGTGTGTGTGTGTGTGTGTGTGTGTGTGTGTGTGTGTGTGTGTGTGTCCGTGTGTGTGTCCGTGTGTGTGTCCGTGTCCAGTACTGGGGCTTGAACTCAGGGCCTGTTACTGCTTTTTCTCTCAAAGCTGTCAACGATAGCAGGCAGATTGTGGTTCTGATGGTGAACCACACCACTTCTGGCTTTTACTGGTTAATTGGATTTAAGAGTCTCACAAACTTTTCCTGCCTGGGCTGGCTTGGAACTGCAATTTTCAGATCTTAGTCTCCTTAGTTAGCTAGGATTATAGGCATGACTATTGGGCGCCTGGCTTGTCCCTTCACTGTTTTACTCAAAGCTGGGCACTCTATAGCTTGTGTCAAAGCTCCACTTCTGGCTTTTTTGGGGGGACTGGAGGGAGGCTGGTTAATTGAAAAGTCTCATGGACTTTTTTTTTCTGCCTTGTCTGGCTTCAAACCTTGATTCTCAGATCTCAGCCTCCTGAGTAGCTAGGATTATAGGCATGAGCAGTTACCTTGACTTCTTGATTTATTTATTATTTTAATTTTATTTAATTTTTTTTAGATTGCATATATGACAGAAAACATTTATTTGAGTCGGGCTTGTTTTGCTAGTAGTAATCTCCAGTTTAATCTAGTTTCTGCAAATAACAATTTGACTTTATAGTTAAATAATAATACTTCATTGTATGCGACACATTTAAACTGGGCATCTAAACTTAGTGTGTATTTTGGTTATTGTAAATAGTGCTATATAAACATGGGTATGCAGGTATTACTTTGTTTTGTGTTGAGTTACATTTCTTTGGCTATAAGCCCAAAAGTTGTGTTAAAGACGATATGGTAGCTCTTTTTTAGCTTTTTTGAGGAACCTCCATAATGATTAACATAGTTATTGCAACTAGTTTATATTCCTACCTGCAGTGCATGAGGTTTGCTTTTCCCCTTTGTCCTCACCAGCATTTATTTATTCATCTATTTAATTTTTGTGCTGGTCCTGGAGCTTGAACTCACTGCTTGGGTTTTGTCCCTGAGCTTCTTTTGCTCAAGACTAGTGCTCTACCACTTGAGCCACAGCTCCACTTCTGGCTTTTTCTATGATTAATTGGAGATAAAAGTCTCTCTTGGCTTTTTCTGCTAGGGCTGAGTTTGAATTGTGAGCCTCAGTTCTGAGCCTCCTGAATAGCTCGGATTATAAGTGTGACCTCCCAGTGCCCAGCTAAAATTTATTTTTTGTTTTGCTTTTGCCAGTACTTGTTAGGGCAGCATTCTGCCACTTGAGCCACACCCCCCCCAGCCCTGTGCTATTTTAGTATTTGCTCACAGCCATGAAATGAGGGGGAGTCTCCATGTTATAATTTTTTTGTTATATATATATATATATATATATATGTATGTATGTACTTACTCATTTTTATATTTTTAAAGAGTTTGAACTGAAGACCTTGCACTTAACTAGGTAGGCTATTTCTCCCCTTCAAATCAGACTTCAGCCCTCAATGTCATTTTGATTGTATTTCTTTTTGGCTAATGATGTCAAGCATTTGCTTATGTATTTGCTTATTGTTTGTACTTTGAGAACTGTCAGTTCAATTTATTGCCCATTTATTAATTGTATTTAATACTTTTTTGAATTCTTTATTTCAAATATTAATTCCTTGTTAAGATGAATACATAATGCTTTTCTCCCAGTCTGTAGGCTGTCTTTACTCTGGTGATTGTTTCTTTCAAAGCAGGAGCTTCTTTTGTGAGCTTGTGCTGGTCCTAGAGCTTGAACGCAGGACTTGAGCACTGTCCCTGAGCTTTCTTGCTCAAGAGTAGTGTTCTACTGCTTGAGCTGCTGCTCCATTTTCAGTTTTTTTGTTTTGTTTTGTTGTGTTTTTAGTGGCTACTTGGAGATGAGTTTCGCAAACATTCCTGCCTAGGTTGGTTTTGAACCACAATCTTCAGATCTTAGCATCCTGAATAGCTAGCATTACAGGCACAAGACACTGGCCCCTGGTGCAGAAGCTTCCTCTTCTTCTTCCTCTTTTCTCCTCTTTCCTCTTTCCCCTTCCTTTCCTTTCTTCTCTTATCTTTTTTTTTAAATAATTTTTTATTGAAATTAAGTGATTATATAAATTTCACAAATTTCACAGTATTGTGGGATAGTGATAACTTAATTAAAGCCACAAATATATTTTAACCTTCACAAGGCAAATTGTTATTGTCATGGTCTACGAAGTTTGTGAATTCTATAAGCTTTGACAACTATTTCTTCCAAATTGGGTGATATGTACATTTCTTTCCTTTGGCTTAGTGTCAGCTGTTCCCGCTTGCCTTCTCATTCCTCCCTCCCATCGCTGCCATTGCGTTGCTTAGTTTCCATCAATGTCCAGTGCAGCTGTTGTATATTTTCTCATTTCCCTCTTGGTTCTGTACCCTCCTCCTAGCTTCGCTCAGATGTGCATACACACACCACACACACACACACCCCATATATGTGGTCAAGAACATGGAGTCATTTAGAAATGATGTAACAAATTAAGTTGAGGTCCTTTGTTTCTTGAGTCCTGTTTGTCATATCTCCTTGTATTTTTTGGATTTAACATCCACGAATCAGGGAGACCTGTGCCGTTTGTTTCTCTGCTCTTGCTTACCTCAGTCAAAATGATTTGTTTTAGTTCCATCCATTTCCCTGCGAATGTCATTATTTTGCCCTTTCTTTTTTTCTTTCTTTTTTTTTTTTTTTTGGTCCGGTCGTGGGGCCTGAACTCTGGGCCTGGGCGCTGTCCTTCAGCTCTTCAGCTCAAGGCTAGCACTCTACCACTTGAGCCACAGCGCCACTTCCAGCTTTTTTCTTTTTTTTTGCTTATATGGTGCTGAGGAGCCACCTTCCCAGCCCCTTCTTTGCCATTTTTTATCTTTTCTGAGAAGTCTCTCTTTAGCTCCCTTGCCCATTTAATTATTGGTTTGTTAGATTTGGGAGGGAGTCATTTCTTTTTTTTCTTTTTCTTTTCCTTTTTGTTGGTTGTGGGGCTTGAACTGTGGGCCTGGGCGCTGTCCCTGCGCGCTTCAGCTCAAGGCGAAGCTCTTGAGCCACACAGCACTACTTCCGGTTTTCTAGTGGTTTATTGGAGATCAGAGTCTCATGGACTTTTTTGCCAGGGCTGGCTTTGAACTGCAATTCTCTGATCTAAGCCTCCTGAGTGGCTAGGATCACAGGTGTGAGCTACTGGTACCCCCGCAGGGTTAGTTTCTTTTTTTGGGGGGGGGGTCTGGTCGTGGGGCCTGAACTCTGGGCCTGAGCGTTGTTCCTCAGCTCTTCAGCTCAAGGCTAGTGCTCTACCACTTGAGCCACAGCGCCACTTCCAGCTTTTTTCTTTTTGCTTATGTGGTGCTGAGGAATCGAACCCAGGGCCTCAGACATGCAAGGCAAGCGCTCTACCACTGAGCTACCTTCCTAGCCCCAGGGTTAGTTTCTTGAGTTCCCTGTATATACTGAATATTAGGCCCATGTCTGATATATTGCTGGTAAATATTTTTTCTCAATTAGTTGGTATCTATGTCTTTAGCTGTGCAGAAGCTTTATTTTAAGGTAGTCCCATTTGTCGAATCTCTCTCCAATTTGTTGTGACCCTGGGACTCTGTTCAGGAAGTACCTTCCTGGGCCTGTAAGTTCAAGTGTCTCTCCTACTCTGTCCTGCAGTAGTTTCAGAGATTCAGGTTTGATGTTAAGATCTTGAATCCATTTTGAGTTGATGTTAGTATATGGTGGCAGGCTGGGGTCCACTTTTAGTTTTCTGTATGTGGCCGCCCAGTTTTCCCAGCACCAGTAGTTGAAGAGGCTTTGCTTCTTCCACTGTATGTCTTTGGCTCCTTTGTCAATCAATATCAGCTGACTATAGGTTTGTGATTTTATTTCTAGATCTTCTAATCTGTTCTATTGGTCTTTGGATTTATTTTTGTGCCAATACCACGCTGTCTTTGTTATTATGGCTCTGTAGTAGAGCTTGAAATCTGTTTTCGTGATCCCTCCTGTGTTTTCTTTTGCCTAGAATTGCTTTGGCTGTTCTAGGCCTTTTATTGTTGCATATGAATTTTTGGATTGTTTTCTCTGTTTCAGGAAAGAACATCATTGGAATTTTGATGGGAATTGCATTGAATTTGTTTATCATTTTTGGCAGTATGGCCATTCTCACTATATTGATTCTGCCTATCTAAGAACATGGAAGGTCTTTGCGGTCTTTAGGCTTTTTTATAGTCTTCACTAAATAGGTCCTTTATATCTTTGGTTAGGTTAATTCCTAGATATTTTAATTTTTTTGAGGTTATCGTGAATGAGGTTGTTTTCCTGATTTCCCTTTCTGCTTATACATTGTTGGTGTACAGAAAGGCAACTGATTTTTGTGGGTTAATTTTGTATCCTGCGACTTTGCTGAGTGTTTTGTAAGTTCTAGGAGTTTGGGAGTGGAGTTTTTTGGGATCATTAAGGTATACTATCATGTCATCTGCAAATAGGGATAGTTTAATTTCTTCCTTCCCTATGTGGAACCCTTTAATGTGCTTTTCTTGCCTTATTTGTCTGGCTAAGGATTCCAGAACTACGTTAAGGAGTGGAGAGAGTGGGCATCCTTGGCTTCATAGATCTCTTTTCTTTTTTCCATCTCTCCTTCTCTCTTCTCCCTCCCTCTCCTTCCTTCCTCCCTCCCTCCCTTCCTCCCTCCCTCCCTCTCTTCCTCCCTCCCTTCCTTCCTTCCTTCTTCCCTTCCTCCCTCCTCCCTCCCTGCCTCCCTCCCTCCCTCCCTTCCTTTTTCCCTTCCTTCCTTCCTCCCTCCCTCCCTCCCTCCCTTCCTCCCTCCCTTCCTCCCTCCCTCCCTTCCTTTCTTTTCCTCCCTCCCTTCCTTTCTTTTCCTTCATCCTTTCCTTTCTTTTCCTTTCTTTCCTTTCTCTTCCTTTCTTTGATTACTTCTCTTTCCCCTTCTATTTTGAATAAATATCAGCACAGAGTGGGGCGATATGGTCCAGTCTTCTGCGGGTCCCTTATATCAGGAAAGTATGTTAAATTTTGTTAAAGACCTTTTTTGAGTCTATTTTGAAGATCATATGATTTTTTTTTTTTTTTTATTTTTTTGTCGGTCGTGGGGCTTGAACTCTGGGCCTGGGCGCTGTCCCTCAGCTCTTCAGCTCAAGGCGAGCGCTCTACCACTTGAGCTATAGCACCACTTCCGGTTTTCTGGTGGTTTATTGGAGATAGGAGTCTCACGGTCTTTCCTGCCCGGGCTGGCTTTGAACCGTGATCCTCAGATCTCAGCCTCCTGAGTAGCTAGGATTACAGGCGTGAGCCACCAGCGCCCGGCTGATCATATGATTTTTGTCCTTGATTCTGCCTGCTTTATTACTGTTTACATTCAACTTTCCTTCAATTCCTGGAATGAAACCAACCCATTCACTCTATATGATTTGTTTAATGTGTTGTTGAATTCAGTTTGCAAGTTTTTTTTTTTATTGTGAGAATACCGTACAGAGGTGTTACAATTACATGGGCAAGATAATGAGTACATTTCTTATCAAGCATTGTTGCCTCCTCTTCGTTTCCCCTTCCCATCCCTTCCCATACTCTCCCCTCCCCCCACCCGAAGTTTGCCAAGTTTTATCACTGAAAATTTTTGTCAATGTTTATCAAGGAAATTAGTCTGTTCATTCCCTCACTCCCTCTACTTTCTTCTCTTTTTACTCCTCCCCTCCCTCCTCTTCCTCCTCTCTCTTCCCTTTTCTTCCCCTCCCTTCCCCTCCCCTTTTTCATACAAGTTCTGAGGCTTGAACTCTGTACTTGAACCCTGAGCTTTTTATGCTTAAGACTAGCACTCTGAGCTAGGCACTGGTAGCTCACTCCTGTAATCCTAGCTACTCAGGAGGCTGAGATCTGAGGATTGCGGTTCAAAGCCAGCCCGGGCTGGAAAGTCTGTGAGACTCTTATCTCCAATAAACCACCAAGAACCTGGAAGTGGCACTATGGCTCAAGTAGCAGAGTGTTCCCTTTGAGCTGAAGAGGTTAGGGACAGCACCCAGGCCCCTACGACCGACCTCTTGACACTGTCACTTGAGCCACAGTTCCACTTCCAGTTTTACAATTTTTGTTATATATTTATCTAGGTGTGAGATCAGGGTAATACAGGCTTTATAGAAGGAGTTTGGTAGCCTTTGTTTCCCTTCTATTTATGGAATAGTTTGAGGAGCATTGGTGTTCCTTTTTTTAAAGGTCTAGTAGAATTCAGGAGTACTTTTTTTCTTAGGGAAGCTATTCATGTTTTCATGTCATTTTCTCATAAATCTGTATAAGACGTTTATATCATCTTGATTCAATTTTTGTAGGTCATGTATCTAGGAATATGTCTATTTCTTTTAGATTTCACAGTTTATTGGAATAAGTTTTTGAGATGATTGTTCATGATCCCCTGAATTTTATTAACATCTATGTGTTATCCCCTCTTTTCATTTCTAACTTTTTTATTTTGAATCATCTCTCTCCTTTTGGTTTGTTTGGCTAAGGTCTTGTCATTTTGTATATGTTTTCAAAGAACCATAGTAATCTATACACTGTTATTTTTAAAACTATATACAGAATGCAACATACAAATTACTTATAGTCAGAAAGTCTAATACCAAAATACTATCCTCAATATATGTTTAATGGTGAGAATAAAAGAAAAGTCAATGCCTTTAATAAAATATTGGATCAAGTAAAAAGGTTTACAAAAGTGAAGTCTATGGAAGTATTAATGTCATTACATGAAAAACTCAGCAATCTCAAATAACTTAATTCTGCACTTCACCTCTTTAAGAATAAGAGCAATCGCTCGAACCTGAAGAAATAATAAGGATCAAGACAAATTAATGGAGATTAAAAAAAGATGTAAAGAATCAACGAAACTAAGAGGATGCAATGTGTTTTGTAGTTCCATATATTACTCTAATGATATAGTATGATAAAGTTGGCTAGTGCTTCTAACTGTGTGCGTTTTTTGTTTGGTTTTTGCAGAACTATGGTTTGAACTCAGAGTCTATGCTTTCCAAGCAGGTGATTGGTTATCAAGCCATCCCTTCAGCCTTTTTTTGTACTGTTTATTATTATTATTACTATTACTGTTGTTATTATTTTACTAGCAGCAGGGCTTGAACTCAGGGCCATGCATTTGCTCATAGCTGTGAGTGATGCCTCCATCCCTGCTTTTTTTTTTTTTTGGTGGTTATTTTGGAGATACCTTTTTTTTTTTTTTTTTTTTTTTCCTTTTTTTGCCAGTTGTGGGGCCTGAACTCTGGGCCTGGGTGCTGTCCCTCAGCTCTTCAGCTCAAGGCTAGCGCTCTACCACTTGAGCCACAGCGCCACTTCCAGCCTTTTCTGCTTATGTGGTGCTGAGGAATGGAACCCAGGGCCTCATGCATGCAAGGCAAGCACTCTACTGCTGAGCCACATTCCCAGCCCCTGGAGATGATATCTTGAAGCTTTTCTGCCACGCTGGCTTTGAACTGTGAACCGTGACCATCTAGGTCTTAGCCTACTGAGCTAGCTAAGATTATAGGTGTGAGCCATCTGGTCTACCAAGACTATCATTTGTTTTTTTTAAATGAGATAATTGTAGTACAGGTTTTCAGTAGTCTACTTTTAGTATTGAGATGGAACACTTGTTCTGTTATCCCCCCCCCCCCCCTCCCGGCTCGAACTCTGGGCCTTTGTGCTGTCCTTGAGCCTCTTTTGTTCAAGTCTAGCACTCTACCACTTGAGCCACAGCACCACTTCCAGCTTTTTCTGAGTAGTTTATTGGAGATAAGAGTCTCGGGCTTTTCTGCCTGGGCTGGCTTTGAACTGTGATCTTCAGATCTCAGCTTCCTGGGTAGCTCAGATTATAGGTGTGAGCTACTGGCACCCTGGCTTTTTATCTTTTTTTTAAAATTATTATTATTTTAGGAATATCTAGAATTTTTGCTTTCACAATATTTTGACTTTAGAGACTTTTCCAGTACTCCTGTTAAATTTATTCTACATGTGCAAAGTAATGTAGCAAATGTCTAAGTAAGTTTTTTATGTTGCAGGATGAATCTGGTTATAGATGGACTAGAGATGATCATTCTGCAAGCCGACAGCCTGAATACAGGTAAAAAGATAAATGTAATATTACGAATACATTTATTCTTGATTCTTGAGGTATAAGCTGTGGAAATCTAACTTCAGAGTATAAAGGAAATATTTTAATTGCATTTCATTATTTGAAAGCAGTAGCTGTTACAGATGATAAATACTTACCATATAGTTGATAATCTATATCTACTGGCATTTTATGTGGATAATAAAGGTATATAGTTTAAAATTGAATTTTATGATACTAGCTAATAATTATTACTTACTAGCTAATAATTCTTAGTGTTGTACGTATTATGAAGTACAGGTTTGCTTAGTTAGACCGGGAAGCATTTTTTTTCCAGAAGTAGCGAGGGGGGGGGAGGGGGGGAGGGAGGGAGGAGAGTGTGATGGTACTGGGATTCCCCCCCCACCTCCCCCCGGTCCTAGGGCTTGAACTCTGGGCCTAGACACTGTCCCTTTCGAAGCTCAAGGCTAGCAGTCTACCAGTTGAGCAACAGCACCATTTCCACTTTTTTCTGTTTATGTGGTACTGAGTTATTGAATCTAGGGCCTGCCTCATGCATGCTAGGCAAGCAATCTACCTTCCTAGCCCAAAGGAAGAGACATATATGACTTTGGGGGGGTGGGGGTGGGGGGGGTGTCAGTCATGGGTTTTGAATTCAGAGCCTGGGCGCTGTACCTGAGTTTTTCTTTTCTGGGCTAGTGTTCTCCCACTTTGAGCCACAGTGCTACTGGGACTGGGATTTGGACTTAAGCTTTGTGCTTGCTAGGCTTCTGGAGCTACCTTATCAGCCTCTTTTTGGTTTGTTACTTTGAAGATGGACTCGCTGTACCTTGACTGGCCTTTACTGTTACTCTTTTATTTATGCCACCCTGTTTTGCTAGAATTACAGATGTTATTTATTTATTTATTTATCCCAGCCATTATGCTCTGCACCCAGCCCCTGCTTGGAATAACTTGCATGCAATGCCATAACCCAATTGACTGACATACAATTTTGTGAACTTTTTTGCGGGGGCGGGGGGGAGGGTGGGGGTGGGCCTGGATGTCCTAGAACCATGATCCCTAGCTTAGAGTAGTGAGGATTAGAGGCTTGAGTCACTGTTCTCAGCTTCAGAAGTAGCCTTCTGAAAATAAACTTGAGTCCTTAAATCCTTCTTGTTTTATAAGATTGAAAGCATAAATGAAAGATTACTAGACTTTACCAGAGAGCCATGTAGACATCTAGGTACAGAGAACAAAGAAAGGTTTATTGGCCTGAAAGGGGGCCGGCAAGACACCTACTCACAAGGGAGAAGTGAGAAGTACCAGCTATTGTCTGAGGTGACCTATATAACCTAGGAGGTTTTGGAGGGGCTAGAAGGGGCTAGGAGGCGGAGACCCTGATGTGGACGTGTGGGCCAGGGGCTTCATCCTGGTGGACTAGGATTTATGGCTGCTATCCAAATAGTAGATAAGGGTCCTGCAGCTGCCCAGACCTGAAGGTCACTCTAAGGGGCTCTTGTTGCCTTATATAGTGGTAGCTGCCCCAGAGAAGTGCCATCCCAAGGTAAAAGGGGCTTGGAAGTTGATTAATACCTGTCTTTACCACATGGGCCCAGTGTTGCCTAGGAAGGGAGCATGCTAAGCTGTGGAGCAGGGGAGGAGTGGACTAAGCTATGGGAAGGGAGCTCATTTCGCTAACAAAGATACTCTCTTGTTTGCCTTATTTTGATCAGTTCTGTTGGGGAGACATATTTTGGAAGGGTCTTAGTCATTGTTAGCTTTGATTTCTTATATGCAGCATCTGGAAAAATAAATTTGAGAGATAAAAATTCTGAACATATATAATAACCAGGTTGATACTTTTAGTTCTTGCAATTTGTTTTGTAAATGATTCCACTGTGGTTGTATTGAAAATTGTATTAAGTATGGGTTATGGCTTGGCTATGAATAGCCCCATAATCTCACCTGTTTGACAGCTTGGTTCCCTGTTATTTTGGGTGGTGCTGGCTAGATTAGAAAGGGACCTAGTTGGAGGACATAGGTCATTAGGGGGTGTGTCTTTGGAGGGTAACTTGTTCTTGTTCCTTTCCTGTCTACTCTCCAGCCGCCATGAGGTAAGTCCTCATCCTCTTATCGATTCTCAGCCTTAAGTCTGGCCCACAGCAGTGGAATCAGCTGAACAGCTGCGGTTTCTTAAACTGTGAGCTCAAATACTTTTTCTTTTTCTTTTTTTTCTTTGGTTGGTCGTGGGGTTTGAATCAGGGCCTGGGCACTATCCATGAACTCTCTTGCTTAAAGCTAGCATTCTCCTACTTTTATCCACAGCTCTACTTCTAGTTTTCTGGTGGTTAATTGGAGATAAGAGTCTTAATTGGACTTTGCTGCCCAGGCTGGCTTTGAACCGCACCTTTCACATCTCAGCCTCCTGAATAGCTAGGATAACAGTTGTGAGCCACCAGTGCCTAGCTCTCAAGTAATTTTTTTCCCATAAGTTGCTTTTCCCCCCTGTATTTGTGACAAAGCCTAATGGAAAAATTAGTACTAGGAATGGAGTTGGTGGGATTTCTGATCATGTGGTTTCTGATCTCTTAGAAATGATTTAGGAGAGAAAAGATTGGGAGCTCAGTCCACACTAAAATATGTAATGACTGCTCATGAGATTTCAAATAGAACTCAACGTTTTATCAAGAATTGAACTAGAGGCCTTTGGTATCTTGCTATAGCAAAGAATTTGTCTACATTTTGGATGTGTCCTGTGACTGTTGAGGCTGAAGTTTCAAGTCATTCAAGCATTCTCACTGTGGAATGCTTATTGCAAGCTGTTTCTGTTCAAGTTTACTGGGAGAACTGTGCAAAAAGAAGAGGAAGAAGGCTTACACTTTTCCCAGAAAAGAAATGAATGTAAAGTTGGGGCCTTTGAAACTGTAGTTACTGAAATGGTGGGGCCATTAAAAAGTAGTCAAATATTTTGCTCTGAAACTGTAGGAAAGATGCCTTTAGGGCATTTCAGGAATTTGCTAGATTCCACCCATTGCTAGTTCTTGGGTATAATGGATTTAAATTTATTTTTAATTTTTTTTTTCTTCAATTGTGGGGCTTGTACTGTGGGCTGGGTGCTGTCCTTTATTTAGCTCTTCAGCTCAAGACCAGTGCTCTACCACTTGAGCCCCAGTGCCACTTCCAGTTTTCTGATGGTTTATTGGAGGTAAGATTCTCACAGACTTTCCTTACCCAGCGGCTTTGAACTGAGGTTCTCAGATCTCAGCCTCCTGAGTAGCTGGGATTACAAGCATGAGCCACTGGTCCCTGCCTATTTGTAATTGTTTGATGAGATTTTCCTCTGTGGCTTAGTGCTGCCTACCAAGTTATTTCCCTTGGATTCATTTCATTGTGCTCAGCCCTTAGGTACTAAGAGGCGGTTACTGTTGAGATCATAGAAGTACTAATGACTGATTGCACTGGTGGGAGATGTTGGTGTCAGTTCTGTGGTGCTGGTTTTGCAGGCATCTCAAATGCAAGAATTAGAGGTCATGGAGGCGTCCATCTAGGCTTTAAAGGAAGAAAATCATAGTCAGGCAAAATGTAATAAGGTTGAAGTTTCTTCAGGTAGTCCCTGAGAGGATGAGGCCTAAATATCTTTTGAAGATCTGAGGAAGTTGGAGATGGTAGTGAAATAAGGAGGCCAGGTCTGGCCAGCTCCATAATGGCCACATGGTTGATGGTAGTAGGTAGGGTCTGGCATCTTAGTCTTCATGCTGGGGGAAGGAACAACCCCTCCCTCTATGTGCCCCTCTCCCCTCCCATCAGGCAGGGGCAGGCACTTGGCTGATAGGTTACTGAATCTGTCAGTCTGGTGCCTGGGACTGGGAATTTCCTGAGGATCTGACCCCTGTGCCGACCTATTTAGGCCTGGACCAGCCTAGCCACTGGACTCAATGCCACGTGTGTGTCCGTGGTCATGTCCTGTGTCCTGTCTCCTGGCTCGTCTCCTGTCATCATGGAGTCCCAATTCAGCTCTCCATTGGAGCTGAATTGGCTTGTTGGTTTTGTTCTTGTTATTTCTTTCCTCTTTAGCATGTTTCCTAGCTGGGTTATGTGAATTTGCCTGCTGCAGGCCTTTGTAACAGGCTGCAGCCTGCAGCCTGTTCACTGTATAGTAAAGACTCCAATATTCTATATTTCAAAGTGTGGCTTCTGGGACGATTTACCTTACAACAGTAGAAATGCGCAATTTCTGCTAACACCGAGCAGAAGCTAGCCCTAGTGTCAGAAATGAATAGACACACAGGATACAGAAAATTTTGTCAAGGCAAAAGGATCCTATTCCATTATTCTACCCAGAGTTAGGCAAGGACACTGTCCTTCCTCCTTGAGCCTTACAGTCTAAGTACAATCAATTACCGAAGTTAGAAAGTGGGCCATTCTTTATTTGTCTTGTAGTAGGAAGACCCCCACTCGGGCAGGCAAGCCCACCTAGTCGTCCAGAGTGACAGAGCCCACCACAACAAAGTTGTTAACAAAGAAGCAACGTTATTGAGGCGGTTCTTACACTGACTGGTCAGGGTCACGGCACAGGCTTGAGAGCTGATACTGTGACCCTGACGGCCCCCATACTTCAGTTTTTAAAGGCAAAATCCATGAGGTTGAGGCTGGTCACTTGCAGGTGACCAATGAGATTGTAACACAAAGGATTGTACAGTCATACCAGACCACACACAGGTGGCCAATGAAGTTACAGTTTGTCTGTAATGGTTGTTTAAACCAGCCTATCACCTTGGTTTAAAATGGCTCGCAAGCCGGGTGCCTGTGGCTCACGCCTGTAATCCTAGCTACTCAGGAGGCTGAGATCTGAGGATCATGGTTCAAAGCCAGCCCGGGTGGGAAAGTCCATGAAACTCTTATCTCCAATAAACCACCAGAAAACCAGAAGTAGCACTGTAGCTTAAGCGGTAGAGTGCTCGCCTTGAGCTGAAGAGCTGAGGGACAGCGCCCAAGCCCAGAGTTCAAGCCCCATGACCAAAAAAAAA